TTCCTTTGTCTTTTTGCTCTGTCCAGACCCCCAGGGGATTGAATGATGCCCACTCACATCAGCAAGGGCCATCTGCTTTGCTCTGTCTCCCGATGCAAGCGTGAGTGTCTGCTGGCAAGGCCCTCACAGACACATGCGGGAGCAACATGGAATCACACCTCCAAGCCTCCCGCAGCCGGGTCAGACTGACACAGCAGTTAACCATCACACCCAGTTTCCCTCCTTGAACTCTTCGGCATCTACCTTCTGCCTGTGTGGTCAGATGGGGCTGACCCCACAACTCATCCAGTGGGCTCCAGGGGCAGGCTGGAGATCCAGGCCCAGACTGTGAGCCTGCTCCCTCCTTGGCCACCATGGGTGGATCAAGCTGATCTGGGAAGGGAAAGCTGCTGGCGAAACTGTAACTGGTTCTGACTGGTTACAATGCCTGCATATGACGGACCAGCACTTGCTGCGGGCCATAGAGCACCGGTATGGTTACAGGCCCTGGTTCTTTTTGAGGCAAGACAGCACAAAAGGCAAGTCATTGATTTTGAGCAAAATTAATGTTTAAGAAAAGGCTGAATCTGCCCAGTGATGTTTCAGTCTCACAACAGTACACTCAGAGCCAGCACAACACACACACACAAGAACACACCCTTAGCACTAGAACACTGGCAGAACAAACTTTACTGCTTTGAGCCTGAAACAGCCTTGCTCATAACTCCTTCTGCATTGTTTAGACTAAAATGTAACTCTTGACTAGGCAAAGTTCCTTAGAAACACCATTATTATATTAAAGAAAAATCATAGTGGTATTTATTTGGGCATTTATAAAGCATATTTATTGAGCCAACAAATTGTCTCGCAATTTATTTATGCAACAACTCAATGAGACAATTTTCTTCTCCCAATTTCACAACAAAGGACACAGAGATAGAAAGGTCAAGGTCTCGCTTGTAACTGGTCAGCAGTGGAGCTGGTCTGACCCCCAGAACCTGCACCATAAACCACCATATGAAACCACCCATACAAGAACTGCCACCTGCACACGCACGAACCTGACCACAGGGTGGCCCCGTGCACACACATGGGCCTCACCTTCCAGGCCCAGCTGTGATCTGACAGCCACAGCACCACTGCCCGAGCGGGTCCACTGTCTGCCAGAACCGACACGTGCTCCTGCAGCCGGAAGCAGGAAGGATGCTCTGACAGCTGGCAGGGGTGTGCTCCTCCCGGAACGAGTGAGCAGCTGGGTTTCTCACAGCCCCTGCACCCGGCTCGCCTGCCTGCTTCTGCAGTATTCACCTGCTGCAGACGTTCTCTCTACCTGCAAACTTCCAGGCACCTTGAGCGCTTAGCTACCCGCTGCTTAAATGCAGACTTCGGAATATAAAACTTCCTGGTTAAGAAATTAATTTTTCAGGGCTGGCGTTGTGGTGCAGCTTGTTAAAGCCATGGCCTGCAATGCAGGCATCCCATATGGGCACTGGGTCGAGTCCCAGCTGCTCCACTTCCAATCCAGCTCTCTGCTAAGGCACCTGGGAAAGCAGCAGAGGATGGCCCAAGTGCTCAGGCCCCTGCACCCACATAGAAGACCCGAGCAAACTCCTGGCTTCAGCCTGGCCACATTCTGTGACTATCTGGGGAGGGAACAAGTAGATGAAAGGCAGGCCTCTCCCTCTGTCTTTCCTTCCCTCTTTGTAACTCTGCCTTTCATATAAATACAATAAATCTTGAGGAGAGAAGAGGAGAGAAGAGGAGAGAAGAGGAGAGAAGAGGAGAGAAGAGGAGAGAAGAGGAGAGAAGAGGAGAGAAGAGGAGAGAAGAGGAGAGAAGAGGAGAGAAGAGGAGAGAAGAGGAGAGAAGAGGAGAGAAGAGGAGAGAAGAGGAGAGAAGAGGAGAGAAAGAAAGAAAGAAAGAAAGAAAGAAAGAAAGAAAGAAAGAAAGAAAGAAAGAAAGAAAGAAAGAAAGAAAGAAAGAAAGAAAGAAAGAGAAAGAAAGAAAGAAACTGGTTCTTCCTATATCATATAGGGGATAAAATCTTCCCGAGGACTGTCATGTGACAACACCTTTTCTGTAAGATCCACTGGAAATGGCTGCCTGGGTCCAGTGCCTTGTGTAAGCCCACACACTGGCTGGATCACTCTCTGCGGTTCAGAGGTGGGGAAACACCGCCTGGCCACGCTGCACAGCTCAGCCAGGAACACAATGTGCACCTAATGGAGCCAAGACTCGAGGCCAAGCAGATGCTCACACAAGCCAGGAAAGCAACAGGGAACACAGTCCCATCTGTCACAGATGATTCATAACCCGCATCTCCAAAGACGTCGGTCTCTATCATGAATATCAAGGGCAGTTATGCCACAGAACCCAAGCAAGGCCAGGTGCAACAATGATGCAGGCGAGAAAGCACCAAATTAGGCACTGACTACTCTATTTATAATCATCATTTACCTGTCTCTGGCGCTCCTGCAATGTCATTTTAAAATGTAAAGAGAAGGGAGATGCTCAAGGAATCACACTTAAGTATGACAGCGTGGTGCCAGCATTCGATGACATACACAATGATGATAGCCGCATTCACATCACCTAATGGCACCAAGACTAAATGCTCCCAACTATTTTTAACCCCAGCTTCCCTGACACATCCACAAAACATATTTTTAGGAGAAAGGAAAAGTTGTTGTTGTTCTTTTTAAAATGTTTATTTATTTTCATCTACTTAAAAGGCAGAGAGAGAGAGATCTTCCATCCACTGATTCACTTCCCAAAAGCCTGCCACAGCCAAGGATGAGCCAGGTTGAAGTCAAAGCCAAGAACTCCATCCAGGTCTCCTACATGGGTGTCAAGGGTCCAAGCACTCAACCACCACCCGCTGCCTTGCAGGATGCAAGTGCAGTCCACCGAAGTGAAAACAGGGCAGCCAGGACTTAGCCAGCACTCACAGGGGTGCAGGGACCCCCATGCCGCAACGCCCAGCCTCAGACAGGTTTATCTCCTAGGGTCACTGAAAGGCTATGTTCATGAATAGCCAACAAACCGCTTTTCTTACGTACAATGGGGGAAAAAACTAGAAACAGCTCAAATGTTAAACTGACCACCTTAGACTGGGTATTCCAGATTGGAATGGTAGACTTAATGGTTAAATGGTGCATAAACTCAGCGAAATATCACATCCAAGAATACAAAAATAGTTAACATGAAGCCCATATGGAAACAAGAAAAAATGCTGCCTATTTATTACTAGGGGAAGAGGTAAGGGTTATATGTTATTAGGGAAGTACATAAAGCATGTTCTCATGTGAACAAATGTAACTCAAATGAAACAGGCTCACTCATAGTCTTAATTAGCGTCCGTAAGCACTCTCATCAGGACCACTCTCCACGTGTGATAGTACGAAAGACCCACAGAAGTGGGTGCTCCTGCTGTGGGCACGGCTGGGCAGCAGCGCTATCGCCCACGCAGCTGTGGAACACACAGGGCGAACCCGAAAAGTCCATAGAAAATGGAATTAAAATATAAGCTTAGGGGTAAGTAGTCTGCCTAGTAGTTAAGATATTCGCAACCCACACTGCAGTACTTGGGTTCAATTCCTGACTTCAGCTCCTGACTCCGCTCCCTAATAGCGCACACCCTGGCAGCCAGCAATGATGGCTCACATAATTAGGTCCCTGACCCCCAAGGAGAAACACAGACTGAGTTAATGACTCCTGTTTGACCTCAGCCCAGCCCTGGCCGTTGTAGGCATTTGGAAAGTGAAACAGTGGCTGGGAACTGTCTTTTCCCATCTCTCTCTAATGTCTTTTTAAAAAGAAAACTTTATTTTAGTGCAAAAAAATTTCAAATTCATATACACTTTTTTCATAATATGTATTTTCCATTAACTTTTTGCATGTAAGCATTTCAAAATTTTTTGCATCACAATACATAATTTCAGTTTCCAAGAACTTTCTGAAGTTCTCTCACACATGGCTCAGCATCTGTGGGGGTAACTGATGCTCTCTATGCAGCTCAACGACAAATGGACTTTGGGCCCAGCAACTCCACTTCCAGTTACGTTTCCAAAAAATATACTCATACAGGAACAAAATGACAAACAGAAAGATTACTGGCCACAGTACTGTTAGCAGCAGCAGAAGGCTGTTGAGGGGCCGGCGCTGTGGCACAGCAGGTTAACACCCTGGCCTGAAGCACTGGCATCCCATATGGGCGCCGGTTCTAGTCCCAGCTGCTCCTCTTCCGATCCAGCTCTCTGCTATGGCCTGGGATTGAAGAAGACGGTCCAAGTCCTTGGGCCTCTGCACCCATGTGGGAGACCCGGAAGAAGTTCCTGGTTCCTGGCTTCGGATCGGCACAGCTCTGGCCTCTGTGGCCAATTGGGGAGTGAATCATTGGATGGAAGACCTCTCTCTCTCTCTGCCTCTCTTTTCTCTGTGTAACTCTGACTTTCAAATAAAAATAAATAAATCTTGTAAAAAAAAAAAAAAAGGCTGTTGAAAACAACCTCAATGCCCATCGGCTGGTGGGCTGGTTCAATGGCCCTGGTACAGTCAGACATCGGAGCTTCGGGAGCTACTGGAAGGAAGACTGCAGTCCCGCACACACCGGTGCAAAACCATCTCTGACTGCAAAGCCAGAGGTGTGGAGGCCGAGCTATCATTTTCCATTAAGGAGCAAAAGGGAGACAGAGAGGGAAAGACAACGGGAGGTGGGGAGGCGATGTACACGGACACCTGTCTCCTTGCATACACTTGGAGCATCTCTGGGACGAGTGACACATATCAGCTCTAGGAGGCAAACTGGGCAGCTAGGACTAGAAAAAGGGACTTGGATAGCTGAACCTGTTGTGCTTTGAACTATATGCATGAATACCATTTATTCAATAAAATAAAACACATACATACATTTTATTTCCTCATCAAGCCTTTTTTTTTTTTTTAATTAAACAGTGTGGGTGAAGGAAGGCCCAGGGCTTTACCCAGCCTCCACAGCTCACCTCTCAGTCCCTCACCCCTACCTGGCCAACGCCTGCACCTTCGTGGTATGTCGCTCCTCCTGCTCCTCCACCTTCTTTTTCAAGGCATCCACCTCTTGCCGGAGTGCAGCCGAGTGCTCCATCTCCCCATCCAGCAGACTCCGCAGAGATCTGGGGAGAAGGGGCCCCATCAACCAGAGTTCACTGAGCCCAGGACACAGCTCCTGACCAGGCAAGTCCCCACTCATTCAGGGTCCACCAGGTTCTGTGTACACCGTACTGTGAGTCTATCTCACACGTTCTGTGGTCAAGGGTCCTAGAATGATGGTTAGGATGAGTTCAGGGCACTCTGTGCAGCCCAGACCCCACGTCCCCAATGGCCCACACACAGACTGCCCCTCTGACAGCTCGGATGAAGGGCAAGTCCCAGGAAGTCCCTTTGGAGACAGCCCACTCAAAGATACAGCACATTAAACTGAGCCCGTTTTGTCACAGCCACGCTAGGCAAGAAATTTAACACAGGAAAGGTGTCAGGAGAGGCCGAAAAGAATAATCTGAGACATAGAAATAGAATGTCCACTCAGATTATAAGACAGAAGTCAAGGGTCACTTCCACCTCTGCCCACTGAACAGCCTGGGGGCCGCTGTCTTGTGGCCATCTCCAGGTTAAACAAGCACACAGAGCTTTTGGCACAGCTGTAGAGCTGGTTAAGGCAGAAACGGCAGTGTTTTATCGTCCCTCAAATCATGCTCACTTGTGTATCCATCTCCCTGGTCTTACGTAAGGTAGAAGATGGCAGTTCTTCTAGAAGCCATCACAAGGTATCATCTAGAAATGAACCAAACGTGGTTCACTGTACCTGAAATGGCTATTTCTAGAAAACAATTACCAGCAGTGATATGGGTACCCAATAAATCTACAGGTCACTGTCACATGACATCAGAACACAACCGAAAATATCTGACCTCCACTTCACTTCCATTATCTACTAAACCCTCCGAGACCTTCCTATGACAGCCTGAAGAAAACTCTCCCTCCTGGGGCCTGGGACCCCCAGCATACAGGATATGGATTTTTTCCTTCTCTGGGAAGGAGAAAACATTAACAGACAAAGTGAATATTGTCTTCAAAAGGTAAGACAAAACCTACAACTTTTTCCAAGATGACAGCTCCAGCTGGCATAAAGACAAAGCAACCTTCAAGGACGATGAGCCCTTTGCTGAAAGTTTAATTTAGTTGGAAGATGCTCTAAAGATTCCTTTTACAAACGTCATCCATTTCAGAAACCGTGTCTGTTCACTTTTTATGTTTCCAAAAAGGCTGCTAACAGGCTGGTCAAGCAGGGCTGAAAATAAATTTTAAAGGATAATCACACTTGGATGTCACTGGGGACCCTTAATTTCCACGTGCAATGAAGGAATGGGAAGGCACCATCCCGCCCCTAGGGGGCAGCCTTCTGCTCGCAGAAGCAGACTTGGTGATGGCAGTCAAGCCCCTGGACCAGCCCCCAGGAATCCAGACCAGGCTCTGGCAGGAGAGAAGCTCAGCTTCCATCAGGTAAGAGCAATGCGGCCAATAGAGGGCATCGATGGGCAAGGTCTTCAACAGGAAAGAGGCCATGAACAAACCCCTCTGCTCTCTCAGTGGCTGCAACGGGGCTTTGGCCAAGTCAAAAGAATCCAAATATCACCTTGCCCCAAGCACCGCTGATTTGGGCAAACATGAAGACAAACAACTGAGTGCTGGAGCACAGTAGGCAGGCCCTCCACTGAAGGTTACTCCAAAGACAACCGTGGGAGTGGGGAGGTGCCAAGCCCAAGGGTGCAGGGTGTCTTTGGGGGGGCTGAAATGTTCTCAAACTGGTGACAGCTGCACATATCTGTGAACATACTACAAACCAACGAACTGTATACTTCAGACTAGAGTATGTGAATTCTCTCAATGAAGCCTCTTTTTCTATTAAGGAGACTGCGCCACCACATGCCCAGCTGGTGCTAAGGTGGTGCCATCACTGTGGGGTTTCTATCATCCCAGATGGCAGGAAGTCACCCGTCACAATTTTGCCTTCGTCTGTTGTTATTCTCTCTGTCCCAGAGGTAGAAGGCCAAAGACAGGTGCTACTCCCTGGGCCTGAAGGTGAGGATACCTGTTCTCCTCTTCCAGCTCATCCTTCCGATTCATCATGGCCACGATGGCTTGGCGCAGTTCACCTAAGGAAGAGAGCAAAGGCGCAGTTCATCAGCAGATTCTACTTGGTACACAACCTCTCTCCTCTCTGGATTAGATGCTGCTAATGACATCTAGACAAGTTCCTTTTCCCTTCCAAAAATAATTCCAATACAGCCTGAGAGATCCAAAGTGCTCAGCTGATCTGTCTTTGACCAGCCACACAGAACAGAAGGGTGGGCAGGATTAGAAGAAACAGTCAAGGCCGGCCCACGGCTCACTAGGCTAATCCTCTGCCTGCAGCGCCGGCACACCGGGTTCTAGTCCCGGTCAGGGCGCCGGATTCTGTCCCGGTTGCCCCTCTTCCAGGCCAGCTCTCTGCTATGGCCCAGAAGTGCAGTGGAGGATGGCCCAAGTGCTTGGGCCCTGCACCCCCTGGGAGACCAGAAGAAGCACCTGGCTCCTGCCATCGGATCAGAGCAATGCGCCGGCCGCAGCGCACCAGCCGCGGCGGCCATTAGAGGGTGAATCAACGGCAAAAAGGAAGACCTTTCTCTCTGTCTGTCTCTCTCTCACTGTCCACTCTGCCTGTCAAAAAAATAAAAAAAAGAAGAAACAGTTATTTCCTTGGTGAACACTCTCAGCCTCTATGGAAAACGAGACTTATGAGTCCTTGGTGTTTTTCCAAGTCTCTGCTACTAGTCATCTACTTTCAACGATGATTTATTCCCTGCTGTAGCTGTTAATCAACACAGACAGCAGAGTGACACCTGACACTGGTCCCAGAAATAATTATCAAGTTTAATAAGAAAGGGGCCTGCACTGTGACATAGTAGGTTAAGTCTCTGCCTGCGGCACCAGCATCCCATATGGGCAATGGTGCAAGTCCTGGATGCTCCACTCCTGATCCAGCTCCTTGCTAATGAATAGGGAAAGCAGTAGAAGATGGCCCAAGTGCTTGGGCCCCTGCACTCACGTGGGAAACCCAAAAGAAGCTCCCGGTTCCTGGCTTTGGATCAACCCAGCTTTGGCCATTTCAGCCACTTGAGGAATAAACCAGCAGATGGAAGACCCCTCTCTGTCTCTAACTCTGCCTCTCAAAAAAGTAAATAAATCTTTTTTAAAAAGTTTAATAAGAGATCTGGTTTTCCCATACTGACTTCCAGAGTCAGTATGCAGGGGTGTGTGTGTGTGTGTGTGTGTGCGTGCACGCATGTGGCCAGGGGTGTCTCCAGCACACAGTCCACAAGCACTTACAGGAGCTATTTTCTAGATATCTCTCACACAGGGAAGCACTCGTGGGTAGAAAAGCACCCCTTGAAGTAAGCCCCCCAGTCTCCATTTCAGACCCAACTGTTGTCACCCTTCCCATGCTGAAGGCAATGCCAGATGGCTCGGCCAGCTCTCAAACCAGAAATTTCTGATTTTCTCCTTAAAAAGCCAGTGTTATTTTGTTTCTCTTATTGGACCCTGGCTGCTGAGAGGCTATGAGCTAAAATCACACATCGAGCAAATGTGCATGGCAATGTGGCAACCGCAGCTGGGCCTGACCTTCCCTCTGGTCTTCTTTTCCAACCTGTATTTACGCCTGGAGCCCATTTTATTTATTGTGCCTCACACTTCTGTTCTTCTCACGTGCCGCTTCAGATCCCCTCTGAAAAGGCACCATCTATTGGCTTTTCCCTTCTAGCTAAACAAGGGGGACCCTGACCCTTTCTATTCAAAGCCCCTACTGGCACTATAGCATTTCTTAACTTATACACACCTAAGAAATGCACACCGCCATTCTCATTCCACGGAATACAAGCAAATCGCAAAGAAGGAGTACGTGGGGTAGGGAGAAGACACAGGGAAACAGGCAAGTCCAGCTGGTCCCCTATTACTCAGGACATCCGGGGAGAAAGAAGCCAGCAGAGACCCTGAGGCAAGAAATGAGGTCATGGGATCAACCTATCCTCCCTCTGCAAGGGAAAGGGTGGCCCTCACACGCCAGGGAAGACGTGCTGTTGTATACACTCACGGTACATAATCCACTTCCCAGATGAGGAATAAGATACAAAGCCAGGAGGGCAACCAAGTCACCGCCCCTAACAGCAAAGGCACACAGCACTGGCAGAAGGTAAGGCGGGCTGGCCATGCCCCTAACCCAGCACTCTGAACCTGCAGGTCCAGGTCAGGCGACCACAACAGGACACTGCGGGGCTTCAGTGCCATCACCGTGTGAGACCAGGACCACGTGGGATCCCCTTGACTTGGCTTGGTGTCTGAAGATTTCCCTAGTAGAAAAAGTAGGCAGAAAACCCGTTTACAGAAGAGATATTAATAAAAGATGAGTATGATGGGGAAGGAGATAGGGCTGAGAAGACAAGGAAGGAAAGCCCACGGTGGAGTTAACCACCCCTGAGAGGGGGAGAGCAGGCTGGGCACTGACCTGTGGCCCAGAGGCACACAGAGGCACCTGGGACAGGAGCAGGGCACGCTGCCCAGCGGTGTCACTCGCTGGGCCTGGCCTTGTGCTGCCCCAGGGCACACAGACTCTTTCACCCCTCCCCTCAGTGAACACCACTCAGCATCTCTTACACATAGGTCCCTTCCTCATGACGCCAGCGACAGACCAGGCTCCTGGGGGACTGCCGCTCTGCTCCCAGGCATGCTTGGATTCTGGATTTTCTTGTGGGGCCTTCTTTGCCTCTGGAACTCTAGTTGAACTATCTACAGGGGTGGGCAAAGGAACTGGGGGTTCACCAACATGCCAGGAGCTGGCAGAGGTGCAATCTCTTCATCACCAGGTGTCCCTGCCAGCTGTATGGTCCCCCGGCCGTACAGCACACTGTATGCAGGTCTCTGGTGACGGCACGGCACAGGCATGTCTGGTTATGCCAATGGACAGCTTGGGCTGGACTGAAGTGGGACAAGAGCTCAACAGAGAACACCTACACAGCACGGGAACCACCACCAGCAGCTGCTCAGCACTGGGTGCCCTGGACTGCATGGGACCTCAGCTGCTCAGCACTGGGTGCCCTGGCCTGCGAGGGACCTCTGCGGCTCAGCACTGGGTGCCCTGGCCTGCGTGGGACCTCAGCTGCTCAGCTCTGGGTGCCCTGGACTGCGTGGGGCCTCAGCTGCTCAGCACTGGGTGCCCTGGCCTGCGTGGGACCTCAGCGGCTCAGCACTGGGTGCCCTGGCCTGCGTGGGACCTCAGCGGCTCAGCACTGGGTGCCCTGGCCTGCGTGGGACCTCAGCGGCTCAGCTCTGCCTTGCCTCTCCCAGGGGGAACGGCTCGCCACCAGCAACACGATCCCTGTGCTGGGACATCTGGGTTCCCCATCCTGTGCAGCCCCTGCCTGTCATCCCCAACTGCACACACAGCAACCTGCCTGGCCCAGTGACCTCCTGACAGACACCCCAGAGAAATTCTGCCTGTACAAACAGTCTCTGGCCTAAGACACAAACCCAGAAGCTGTCATAGCACGCATTTCCTGGCCTCACCCATCTCTCCACACCATCCCACACTTCCATCTGATAAAACCCAACCCACCTCTTCTGTCCAAGCAGCCCTCCCCAGGTCCCCCACCCATACAGCACACTGTATGCAGCAGGCACCTATCCCCCCCCAACTCCCCGTTAGTGCATCACACACGGCACATCCCAAAGCTGCATCCCCGTAGCCGAGGTGTGTGGAGTTGAGTTCCGCGACAGTGAGAGAGGCCACTCTGTTCTTGTCGCTGTAGGACGCAGCTGTGGGAGAGTGAGCCCTTGTATGTGCCTCGCAGTGCTTCAGCCCGGCAACCAGCGACGAGGGTGTTCAGGAACCCAGAGCAGGTAACTGGAATGAGTTCCCTGCAGGGTTTCAAGGAGGCTTCCAGACCCACTCTAAGGCCTGAGGTCATGGAAACCGCCCCAGGCAGGAGTAAGGCACAGGTGAGGAGAAGAGCAAAGGACAAGAAGAAGATCCTACCGGGCTTCTAGTGACTTCCATTCCGACAACAGGGGCAGCCCCGGGGGAAGATGCTATCAACAGACTCTGGGGCCAGACAGACCTGAGACCAAACCCCAGCCTAGCCACCGCTGGATGGTTTCTGCCTTTGCAAACTGCAAAGTGGGCCAACGTCCTGTTCCCCGCAGGGGCTCACTTCCAGCCGACCACATGTTCTCCAGAGAATGCTGGGCAGTGGTTCAGGGTCCTGGATTTCAAAGCTGTCTCTGGAGTCGGGTCCTGGGTTTTGATCCTGGCCACAAAGCTGAGTAAGTCTGCATAGACCCTCTCTGATGGGATCTTAACAGTCACCCACAGAGGAGTGGTGTAAGGGGCACGTAGGGAGGTGCTTAGAGAACCACTCCAACAATGGCACACACTACCAGTTACCAGGTATTACTGAGTGCTGTAATTTGCGACTTCCCTTCACCGCAGCAGGAACAGGAAGACGGAGGGCCGAGAGCGGTGCTAGCTCACAAGTGCAGGCTGCTGACACGAGGCACATCTGCAGGAGCCATGAGATTCACTGAGCTCCTGAGTACCCTGACCTCAGGAAATAAAGAGATTTTTAAAGTGCTCTGCGCCAGAGGGCGACAGACTAGATGATAGCATTTTCTGAAGTGTCACACGGGATCACCGCGGGCAGTGTGGGAAATCAAACCCAGGGGGTGATGCACCATCCGGAAGAGGCTGAGGCAGAGCCTGGGTTCTGTGCCTCTGAGCCCCAAGCTGAGGGAGTCCCCAGCCCTGCCACTGAGACCTGCAGCTGCGCATGGCATGTGCCGGCGGGAAAACCCTGGAGAGCCGCCTCCCAGGATGCCCCAGAGACATCTCACCCAGCAGGGGCCCAAATGCCACCACATGGGAGCCACCTGGGGGGTGACCACTGCTGACCCAACCCACTACTATCGTCCTGGTATATGGCTCTTTCTTCCCCCATTTGCTATGCTGTGCACTCCCAACCTCTTGGAGGCAGTCCCCAGTATTTATATATTCACGCACACACACACGAAGAAAAAAGAGAGAGGGAGGAAATTATATATTTCATTTATTTGAAAGGCAGAATGA